TGTACTCACCCCAGGAGGCTTGCCAAGACCCTGCTCAGATCTCATAGGAGATGGGTGGGATGAGCCCAGGCCACCAGAACTGTAGGTGACAGAGTGGGAAAAGTTTCAAAGTTGCTCCCAGGCTCCAATTGTGGACCCACTCAAGGAAGCCTGCCTAGACCATACTCAAGTCTCCTGGTGGGTGGTCAGGGCGAGCCCAGGCTGCCAGAGTGGTGAGAGACAAAGTGGTGAAAATTCCAAAGTTGTTCCAAGGCTCCAAGTGCGGACTCATCCAAGGAGACCTGCTAAGACCAGGCTCAAGGCTCTCTAAGCTCAGGCTGCCCAGGAGACAAAGTGTTGAAATTTCCAAAATTGACCCCAGGCCCCAAGTGTGGACTCACTGAGGAGGCCTGCCTAGATGCTATCACATACATTTTGGATTCTGGTATGAGTTTTAAGTCACTGGGTCTGGGGCTCGAACTACAGTTGACTATGTGGGAGTCCAGTGACATGACCACTACCACCATCTACTGGTTGTAGTTAGTAACTTTTTTAAGTTTGCTCACATGTAAGTAGAGGTTCTACGTCTTACTCAGTTGTGAGGATAAAATAATGATTAATAAGGGAATATCTAGCTTAGTAAACAGTAGTTCCTTTTAACTATTACTTTCATTTTTATTTTGCTCTTGGTTTTCTTAGATAACAGAAAGACTTGGCTTTATTATTTTATTTTATTATTTTTTTTTTTTTTAGAGGTTTTTGCCGTAGAGTGTGTGTGTTTGCCAGAGAGAGACCGAGGGAAAGTGAGAAATCACTCCCTGGGGTTGGGGTGGCCATGCCATAGTCAGTTTTCCATTCTTCTCTGAGATTTTAGCCATGCATACACATGCATCTGGTGTGATTTTCAGGCCACAGTGTCTGAGACTTTGTGGCTGACCACGTGAAGACCTTCACCTTCACACCACCTGCTGGCCTCCAGAAAGACTTGGCTTTTCATTTAAAATGTGGAAGTGATCAAATGAATGAAAGGTTTTTAAAAAATTACTTATGTAATTTCATTTATTATTACTATTTTTAATTTGAGAGAAAGTGAGAAAGCAAGTGTCCAGGTCTGAAACTCAGACTGGGGTTGGCTGTATGGGAGTTCAGCCCCTTTACCACCATGCCACCTGCCAGCTCCATTTATTGAAGGTTTTAAAGGTTATGGTAATGTTCACTCTAAGCATTGAATTTGATTTACAGGCTAGTTTTAAGGATTTTTACCTTTAAATACTTAAGGTAGGATTTACGTATAGCGAAATATCCAGTTCTGCCATTAATTGACATATGTACCTGTTACTTGTACTTTTGTTGAGGTACAGAGCATTAATGTCCTTCCAGGAAGCATCCCCTTGCTCCCACCCAACCCTTTTCCAGCTTCCCTTGCTTCCAGCACTCAAAACAGTAGAACTGTGATGAATAGAGCCGTACACTGTAGTGCTGCTACTTTAGGCAGCATGATGCCCAAGTGACCCGCTGGTGTTGCAGCAGGTGTGGGTTTGTGTTTCTTTTTAGTGCCGAGTAGTGTTCTGCTGTGTGGTTAGGTCATAACCTGTAGCACTCGTCCTTTCCATGGGCATTTTATTGGCTTTCTAACTGATCTTACTGACACTGCTATGGACATTCCTGTAGAAATCTTTTTGTGAACGTATGTTCGCTTCCATTTCCTTGGCATAAATGCCCAGGAAAGATGCTTATCATAGTGTAGTTGAATAATTTTTGAGTATTTTTAATATACAGAGTTTGAGCAGGGGACAGGCAGTCATAATTTTTTTCAAGTTTTATTTGTTTCGTGACAGAAAGAGAGAAGGGGATAAAGAGACAAAAGACAACCGACGTACAATCAGCTAGGACTCCCACCATGATCTGCACTTTCTTTGCCAGCCTTTTAGCCAGTCTGGATTAACTGAGGCAGTACCAGACTTGACCTAGTAAATACTAGTTTTGTTTTGTTTCTCCCCTCCCTTCCCCTCCCCCCTTCTCCCCTTTCTCTTTCTCCCTTCCCTCCCTCTCTTCCTTCCTCTCCCCCTTTTCTTTCTTTTCTTTTCTTCCCTTCACTTTCCTTCCTTTTCCTGTCCCCTTTCCTTTTTCCTCCTCTCCTCCTCTTCTCTTTTTTCATTTCTTTTTTTTTCCCTCTTCCTCTTTGTCTTTTCTTCTCTCTTCCTCCCCTCTCTTTTCTTTTCTTTTTTGCTAGAGGGTGCATGCACTTGCCAGAGACAGACAGTGAAAAATCCCTCTTCTCGGGGGTAATGGCCATACTCCAGTTCATTCTCCAGTCTCCTCTCAGGATTTGGTAACACATGTGTCTGGCATGATTTTTAAGATAACAGATCCAGGATTTGAACCTTGTAGTTGACCTTGTGGGATCCAGTGCCTTAACCACCACACTACCTGCTGGCCCAATATTAGTTTATTTTACCTAGTCTTATTTTGCATGTATATGTGTATACCTGGCATGTACAGGTCAACCTGATCTTCTGAATGGCTTCCAGCATTGCAGAGTGTTAAGCTGCTGCTGTGCCAACATAACTGGGTCAGTACTTTTTTTGAAGTTTATTTCTTCCATAACAAAGGAAGACAGAGAGAGAGAGAGTCACCCTTAACATTGTATCTTCATGCTGTGATCCATCCCCAGGCTCAGCTAGTCAGAATGATGACATATGTCTGCCAGGCATACACACTTCTCAGCATGATAGAGCATTGGGTTAATGCTCTGCCACCATGGATGGTCCATTTTTTATTTTTATTTTTTTTTAATGCACAGTCTCTGAATAGTGTGATGTGATTGGAGAACCAAGGGAAGATGATCTTAAAAAAAATACTTATTTAATTTTATTTATTTATTATTTTAATTCACCAGAGAGTGAAGGAAAGTGAGAAAGCAAGCCCCCAGGTCCAGCACTTGAACTACAGTTGGCCATGTGGAAGTCCAGCATCTTAACTGCCATGCGACCTGCTGGCCCCCTAGGTGATCTTCTGAGATCTGTGTTAGTCATTTATATATATATGTATTTTCATACACATACACACATGCATGTATATATGTGTATGTATATATATACACTCATATATATTATATATACTCATATATAAAACATATTTTCTTATATGCACATATATGTGTGTATATACTCACATATACACGTGTGTGTATGTACATATATTCACTCATATATATGAAAGCTATACCAGCACTCTAGATATATACATGCATGTACATATAGAGATACAGTTATCTGTATCTCTATATATACACATATAGTGTGTGTGTGTGTGTGTGTGTATGTGTGTGTGTGTGTGTATAGAGAGAGAGAGAGAGAGGAGAGAGAGAGAGAGCGTGTGCACGAGCTGATGTATCCTTCATATTTGTTTGTTGTTAAACTTTGATGACTTTTGGGACCAACAAATGGCGTAGCGGTTGTGTCACTGGACTCCCACATGGCTGACCGTGGTTTGAGTCCCAGACCCAGTGGCTTAAAAACTCATGCTGGGCCTGTGTGTGTATATATACCCAAGATCCTGGGAGGAGAATGGAGGAGAAGGGATTGTGGTGTGGCCCTCTCCCCTGGGAGGTAATTTCTCATTTTGCCTCACTGTCTTTACCTCTCCCCTCTTCCAAGTGAGCACACGTGTCTTAAGGCATAAACTTCTACCCAAAGGGGGGGGAAATTTTGATAAGCTTTAACAGCTCCTTTTTAAATGTTGAAATATTTGATAACATATGCATAGGGGGCTGGCCTTATGGCCTAGTATTTAAGAGAGCCAAATCCTACATGGCTGACTATAGTTTGGATCCTGGCCCTGGGGGGTTGTAAAACACTAGGGGTTTGTGAGCGCCAAATCGAGACAGTATAGAGAAATGAAGAAGGAGGGATTATCAGATGACCATGCCCCATTGGGCAGTGCTTACTCTCTCTCAAGAGCACATGAGCCCTCTGGCAGGATTGTTGCATGAATGTTATTACACATTACAGTGGTTTAATATTGCAAATCTGACCTCCACTAGGGTGTAAATCACATTTATGGAAAAGAGATCCGTTCAGTTAAGTGAGATCTATAAAGTGATTAGCTTCTTTTCTTTTGAGTTTTATACAGGATCCAGAAGGTATTAAAATTGTCACTTTATTTTTCATTTCTTGTTTTAGTAGTACACTAATAAGTTAACCAAGTAAATAAAAGCCATAAGGAGAAAAAGTGTTAATCGTAGGCATGAAAATAAGCCCTGAATAATCTAGAAGCTTTAAGTTTCATAGCTTTGAAATGGATGTTTTATAAGGTGGTGATGTTAATTAAACTTTATTATAAGGAATCTTATTTTAAAATGATGTGTGAACATTTGCTGTTGTATATCTCAGTTCAAATAATGGGATTTTTGTGAATCACAAAATCAATGAAGTGGTAATCTAAGTACAGCTAATAGGAAACAAATAATTATGCTACATTGCCACAGGATGGTACAGTGTGTTGGTTTCCCTTTTGCTCAAGTTATTGATTACCATATAAGTAGGGTGAACATATAATTTGTTATCCATCAAGATCCTTTCAGAATGAAAAAAGGCACTATTAATAATTAATACTGGCACATTAGGGATACAAAGGGTTGTCCTGAAGTATGAGAACCCTTATGTGTGTGACACAAGTTAAGTAGTCTTACCCCACAGTATAAGTCTTTTCACCTAATCTAAACTGAAGTGGTTTGTCTTCCTTTCTGATTTGTTATAGGCATAATGTTTGTGCTGCAGAAAACAAGTTCTGATCATATTGACATATTTCTTCAAAGAAGAATTTTAATTTTATAAATTTTCTTTTAGATAAAGCTTGCTGCATTTTTTCCCTTATCATAGTTCAAATTAACCTGAAAGTAGAAAATAAATTCTTAATCACAAGCACTGTCATTCGCTTCCGTGCATTTCTTTATTAGCACTTGGACATTGCTATTTTAGGTATGGTGATTTTAATTATTCTTTTATTTTTCCTTTCAGACAAATTATGAAAACAGAATATATAGCCTGAAAGTAGAATGTGGACCTAAATACCCAGAAGCTCCTCCATCAGTTAGATTTGTAACAAAAATTAATATGAATGGAATAAATAATTCCAGTGGGATGGTAAGTTAAAATGATCATTTTATTCTTGTGTAACATATAGCATAGTCAGGAGAAAGTTTTAGCAGAGGACTTTCGTTTGGCTGAAAGCCTGAAAGAGTTTGTCTTACTATATTCTTTTTCTTTTATAAACTAGTCTATTCTGAAAAACCTTAATGCACTTGCCTACATATGATGATAACACTTAGGATTTTATTTATTGTTTCGGTGGTCATATTTCAGTTGACTCCTAATTTGGTGAAAAGATGACCATTACTTTTCTTTAGGGTTAAGGTACATTTGGCAAGGGTCAGCAGGTGGTGTAATGGTTATGGCACTCGACTCCTCCATGGCCCACTGTGATTCGAGTCCTAGACCTGGTGGCTTAAAAATCACGCCAGCCACATGTGCATGCCTGCCCAAAATCCCAGGGAGAGAATGGAGGAGAAGGGATTGTAATGTGGCCATCCCTCCTGGGGGCGGATTTCTCACTTCCCTTCTCACTGTCTTTCTCTGGTGAGCATATGTACTCTATGGCAAAGACCTTAAAATATAAAGTACATTTGGTGAGATTTAGAGGATGGGTATTCCTGAAGGGCTTTCCTTTGAGAAAGGCACAGTTATGGCTGAGCCTGGCTGTCTCTTTGAAGCAGATAAAATGACTCATTCTACATGATCCACACAAGTTAGTGAAGTAGAAGTAACTGAATTTCCAGTGAGTAGATTGCTAGGTTCATGTTAGGATTCTGAAGCGCAGCTCTCTTGGTGCCAGAAGAGAGCGCTCTCACATGGTAGGAAGCCGAGTAGTCACTCGTCTTAGAAGTAAGATGCTGTCAGTGTCCTCACACCTTTGGTGTCCCTCCCCCTCCTCCCCTAGTGTCCCCTCTTCCCACCAGTGTATTTCAAAACAATGATTTACCCCAGGGGCACACATACCATCTTTCCTCCCTCACTCCCTCCCTCTTTCCTTCCTGTCCATCATCTATTAAAAAGCATGAGTTTATACTAATACTTCAGTTCTATTCCAGTACTGCAGGGTTTATTTTAGGCTGCTTCATTTCCATGTTTGTAATTTTCTCCTCTGACATTGAAAAAGCTGGCTCCCATGGTCTCCAGTGCATTTACTTACTTGCTTAACTACCCCTGCACTTCTGGCAATATGCTGAGTTCTGGACTCATAGCCAGCCCCCATCCTTCAATCTTAGTCTACTCTGCATGCCCAAGGCTGGGCCCCAGATGGGGCTGATACCTTCCCACTGATTGCAGTGGCCTAAAGCCTGACACTGAGTAAAGGGAAAGGTGAAAAATCATTAAAAACCTCAGCCTGAAGGTCAGCAGGTGGTATGGTGGTTGAGTTGCTGGAATCCATGGCTGACTCTGTGGTTCAAGTCCCAGACCGGTTGCTTGAAAAACATGTTGGGCACGTGTGTACGTGCTTGCTCAAAATCCCAAGGAGAGAATGGAGGAGAAGGGACCATTATCTAGGGGTAATGGCAAAGGTGATATCTCACTTTCTCTCTGTCTCCTGTGAGCATGTGCACTGTATGGCAGGAATCTCAAACAAAACCTCAGCCCTGGACCTAATGGCCACTCCCCAGATCTGCTGTCTCACTGTGGTACGCCAACCCAGTGGCTCTGAATGAATCTCTTCTGCTTTCTCAATCTTTTTGAGTTACCAGGAGTGTTTAGCTCATTTACATAAAAGGAATTACTTATTTATTTGTTACTGTTATTTTTTAATTTGACCAGAGAGAGAGAGAAAGTGAGAATGTAAGCTGCCAGGTCTGAGACTTGGACAGCCATGTCTTCTCCTCCATTCTCCTCTTGGGATCTTGGGCATGCACACATATATGCCTGGCATGAGTTTAAGCCACCGGGTCCGGGACTCGAACCGTGGACGACTACATGGGAGTTCAGCGACATAGCCATTACACTAACTGCTGGTCCCATCCCCAGTTCATTTACATTTAATATGTAGTAGTTACTGATATGTTCAAGTTTAAATAGATCGTCTTTCTTGTTTCTTACCTACTTTTGTGCTCGACATTTTTGTTCTGTTTTTGTTCTTTCAGTGGTTATTCTAGAAATTACATGTGTACTTACCTATTTCTGGGTGAACTAATATTAAGAGGTGTGCTAGAAGCAGGATTATGAAACATTTGCAGAAAAGAAGTTGTTTAGAAAATTTTTCTTATGACATATAACATTGCCTTTATGAGGAGGTATTGTGTTAGCTTTCACTACAGATGTAGTAAACAGATGTAGCTGTTCTCAATTACTGGTTTGTTTTCATATTATAGCTTCTGAAAATTGGTCCTAAAGGTAGGTTCCACATTGTCTTGGGAGCTAAGAAGTTCAGGATTAAACTTCAGAACCACCTCTAACAAACTTTGTCACCTTATCTGAGCTCGTGTGCTTCTGGTCCATTTTTTGACTTTTTGCTTCTCCCTCTACTCCTTCCCCCACTCATCTGTCATTAAGTCCTGTCATGTTTGTTTGTTTCTGTTTAGGTGGGGTCTCACCATTGTCACAATCCTGTATCATCCTGCCTCCAGGGTCTACAGTATGCATACTGCCACACCCAGATCCTTTAGAAAAATAAATAAGTAATAATTTTGGCTATTATTTTTTCTTTAAAGAATTATTTATTTATTTAATTAATTAGTGAAAATTTGACTAGAGAGAGAGAGAAGGGAAGTGAGAAAGCAAGCCACAAGGTTCGAGATTCAAACCGTGGTCAGCCATGTAGGAGTGTCTAGTGCCTTAACCACTATGCATGCCACCTGCTGCCCTCCCCTTTTAAAATTTTCTATAGGGCACATGTGCTCACCAGAGAGAGAGAGGGAGGGAGAGTGAGAATGCAAACCTCTAGGTCTTGGACTTGAATTGCAGTTGGCTATGTGGGAGTCCAGCGCCTTAACCACCAGGCCACCTGCTGACCCTACACACTGCAATTTTTCCTCCACTTCTCCATCCTTTTGGGATTTGGGACATTGTGTACATATGAGCCCAGCATATTTTTTCTAGCTGCCTGGGCTGGGGCTGGGATTTGAACCATGGTTGACTGTGGGAGCCAGCTCCCAGTGCACAGCACTTAACCACTGCTTTATAGGGCTGGCCCATTGATGATGATGATTTTTTTTTTCTTTTCTTTTTTTTTTTTTTTTTAAATTCCCTCTAATGTTTATAGAACAAGCAGCCAGAGGGATGGAGCCTAAAACACAAATTGTGTCATGCCATTTTTGTGTTTTAAAGTCTTCCCTGAGTGAGTGGCTAATCTCTGGGTCCTTCACTGGCTGGTGTAAATGCCACTTTCTCCCAAAAGTCTTCCCTACTTCCCCAATTAGAACTGCACACCCCTCCCCCCCTGCTCTGTTATAGTCACTTTGCTCCTTTTTTCTTTGGTCGCCATTGTTATCCATTTATTCTCTCTTGGTTTTAATTTGGCATTTTGAAAAGAAATACTTCTAACATGGAGAAAAATTTAGAGAATGATATATTGGGGCGTCAGGAAAGTCATGTTTTTCAATGCAAAAATGCGTCAAGATTTTTCCAACAACCCAATATAACCAACATCTGACATATCTGACATCTGTCTGCCTGCTAATTGGCTTTGTTGAGTCTTAACATTTGTCCTATGGTAAATGCCTTTTTTTTTAGGAGAGAGATTTTTGCTATGGGGCACATTCGCTTGCCAGAGAGAGAGAGTGAGACAGGCAGAAAGAGAGAAATTCCACTCCCCCCCGGGGGGTGGGATAGCAACACCGCAATCCCATCTGCTCCATTCTCTTCTTGGGATTTTTGGGCATGCACGCACACCTACGTGCCTAGCGTTGAGTTTAAGTCTCCAGGTCTGGAACTCGAACCACAGTTGACTGCTACATGGGAGTTCAGCTACGTAACCATTATAATGTCTACTGACTCCTGATAAATGCCTTTTCTTTTGAGTGCAGAGACCACATTGTAGAATTAACCATGCATGTGGGTTTCTCTCTCCTGTTTACCCTTCTGTTTCTTCAGAGGTAGCCCCGTCTTGGTTCGATATTCATCATTTCCATGCATGATTGTTGTGTTTTCACTAGGCATATACAGTTATCTGCATGTGTGTTTATTGTATCACTTTTCTGTAGTATTTTACATATGTCAGCAATTTTTCAAGATCATCCATATTGTCATAAAATAAATTGCTAGGGACCAGCAGGTGGTGAGGTGGTTAAGGTGCTGGACTCCCACATGGCCGACCAAGGTTCAAGACCAATACCTGGCAGCTTGCTTTCTTACTTTCACTTTCTCTCTCTGGTCACATTAAAAACAATAATAATAATAGATAAAGTGAAATAAACAGTTCTTTAAAAAATAGATTACTCATTTTTATCATTTAATATCTGCTCTTCTTGTTGGGTATTCAGGTTGTTTTCTGTGTTAACTGAGGAGTATTGCAGTGAACATTCTTGTACTTGAGGGGTGTTTTCTCAGGACAGTGTATTTGTTTGTTGGTTTATTGGATCATTGGAAAAGTCATACAGTTTTGCATAGAAAAACAAGAAATGTGTCATGATTTTTCTGATGACCCAATATTTGGCTTTAATCTGTTGTAGATCAATATTTCTGTGCACTAAAATAAAATACTAGAAAAATGAAATAAAAAAATACAGGGACCGGCAGATGGAGTAATGCTTATGTCGCTGAACTCCCACGTAGTGGACCATGGTTCGAGTCCTGGATCCAGTGGCTTAAAACTCAAGCCAGGTGCGTGTGTGCCCCAATTCCAAGAGGAGAATAGAGGAGAAGGGATTGTGAAGTGGCCATTTCCCCTGAGAGGTAATTTCTTGCTTTCTGTCTCTGTCTCTCTGGCAAGTGCACGTATCCTGTAGCAAAAATCTGTCTCTAAGCTCAACATTTTTCATCTTTGTTTAGAGAGATTTTTTGCTGTGGGGCGCTTGTGCTTGCCAGAGACACAGAGAGAGAGAGAGAAGGTGAGAAATCACTCCCCGGGGTGACGGCCATGTTGTAATCCCTTCTGC